TTGAATACTAAATGATGCAGTACTGTGTTAATTCCCTCATTTCAACTAGCATTTACTAACCCCTTGCTTGATCTGTAGCAAAAACCCTATGTTAGGCTCTCGAGAATACAAAAATGAATAACCCAAAGGTCTCTACCTCTTTAGGGAGCTCAGTAGGTAGGTACACAAACATGTACAAAAATATTTGTACAAGGTGTAGAAGCAGAGAAGAGAATAGCAAATCGAGTGCTGTCATTTGACCTGTATCTTGAAAGATTAATAATATTAACACTTGCATTTTTAATTTTTTATTATTACTATTTTAATTTTTTATTATTACTATTTCCATAGCATTTCATCTTCAGAGGGCTTTAGTGTCTGACACATAGTAAGTGTTCAGTGATTAATGACTGAAAAAATACGTTGTGAGTTACATAATTTTTTAAAATCCTCTGCTAATACCCTTCCAACTGAGTACCATAATGAATGAAACAACAGGATGGGTGTTTGGAGAGCAAAATATTTCCCTTTTAGGCTGGTTATTGATCATATCTTCAACCAAGGAACCAAATAGTAACTTTTTTCTGCCATAATTAAGGCCATTCACTACCTTCCTTATCTTTTAAAAAAGATATTTATAGGATAATACTGCATTCATTTCCAAAAATCTTAAATTTGTACCTATTAATACCTTGCAGTAGAATTCCTGTGCTTCTTTCCTAAAAAAAAATTTTGCTGAAAATGTCCATCAGGATATTAGACTGAAAACAGATCTAACTATATCTAATTTTCTCTGACAGGAAATCAGACATGGATGTCATCATCTACCCATCCCTAATCTATTCTTCATCCTCCTCAATAAAGTAAAGCCACATGGTATAATAAAACATCAAAGTGGTATAATATAGCTGTATTTCACATGGAAATATGCAATGCCTTAAGCTCTTCTCCAAGATTTTGTATTGTGGGAAAGCAAACTATGTGGGAATTATTGCATTATTGATTTTTTATTAGGACTTAACATTATGAAAGTTTCGTTATTTACTATAAAGATATTTCACGGCAAATAGAAGTATGCTGTTGTAAAGTAAACTAAGGCAGATTAGTATTTTTCCTGGCAACTGAGTACTTAATAACCATTTTTTCTGAGTTATCCTCCCCAAAACTTAGTAGTAAAAAAAAAAAAAAATCTTAGTAATTAGAACCAGGTATTTCTTGAAAGTTTAGGATCTATTTATCTTTCAGGGGCTTCATTGATGTAAACTAAAATAAGACGTATCTTTGAAATACAGATTACAGTGGCAATAGATGCCACTCTAGATGTCATGTTTGTTGGTCACCTGTCAGTAAATTGGAAGGCACAATACAATTTATTTTGCACCAGCATTTACATCACTGAGGCTGGCAACAGAATTACCTTGCCTTTGTCACTTTCCTGAAAGTGTTTTAAAAGTTTGGAAGACCAACTGACATATGATGAAACCTGTTCATTCAAAGCACAGCAAACCTTCTCTTCCCTTCTTGCTGTATCTCTCACCCCCTAACCAAGCTAAAACTAAACAAGTTTAAAAGCTACCTATAATGAAAGGGGATCCAATGGTCAGGAAAGGAATTTTATTTGTAGGAAAGCAGAACAGACCAAGAAGCCTGAGTGGCCTTAATAATCATCTTTGGGACAGGATCACCGGAAAGTTTAATTAATTTTCTATTTCTCAACTAGTTATTTTACTTTTACTTTTGTTTTTAATCTGGAGGGCTTAACCCTACTTCAAACAACTCAGTAGTTTGAACCCTACTTCAAACAACAACAACTCATTTTGGGAGGCTTAGGTGGGAGGATCACCTGAGGTCAGAGAACAACCTATATCAAATGGATTTGGAGGTATCAATTGTTTCACATTCTAGAAAGGTTTCATTGGCTGAAAATGGAATGAGTTAGGTTTTATAGCCATATTGTCAGTGTTTGCTTGCCTTTTGAATTTGATTATGAATTCCATGAGGGTAGTAATTGTCCTGTCCTGTGTTAAAATGCCAACAATCTTGTGGGTGCTTAATATATATTAATTGATGACAAAAGATAAAGTGACACTCATTCAGTCTTAGAGCCCTTCCTATATGTTATGCTTATGGATACAGATTTGGTAAGGTCACTTCATGGGATCTGCAGAAACCCTAGTAAGGTAGAGTGGAAGAAACAAAATCTTAAGGAGAAGATGTGAGTGGATTGGAATTCTGATACTGCCACTTACTAGCTCTTTGATCTTGAGCCTGATTCTTCATCTGTAAAATAGGGATAATAATACCTTCCCACAGAGTCACTTTGAGGATTAAATGAATTAACTACGCATAGTGTCAAACTGCTCACAGTTTCCAGAATATGCCATGCAATTTACTGCCTTCAAGTCTGAGCCTGGAGCCCTGAGCTTAGAATAGTCATTTCCTTCATAGCCACATCTCGCTTAACATGTTGTCTGGTTAATTCCTGGTAAGTGCCTGGTCTTCCATAAAAACCCATCTCAAGTATTAACTTATTTGTGAAGCATCCCTTGGCCCAACAAATTGTAGATGGAGATGGTTGCTTAATGCTGAATGAATGAGTGTCTGGAACCCAATAAGTGCCAAATATATGTTGCTTTTTCACCACTATCCCCTTTTCTGTTTCATCCCAACAACTCTCTCTTTAAGTGACCTGTCTAATACTGCCTATTGCCCTTTTTTCTTAAAACTTCCCAAAGTCAATTGGATAGGGATATATAACTCTCCTACTGGAAAAGGAGGAGTTGATAATTGCTAACAATAATACAATCTACCAAAGAAAGCAACAGATGGCTTATTCCAAACTTGAACAAAATTGAGGGAATATACTACCCATGAGTCATTTGTGAAAAATTACTTGGCAATATATGAAGTCAAATCAAATAAGAAATGAGTCCAAATAAAGAATTAAGAATGGAGATTTTGCAGTAAGCCAATTTATTTAAGTGGAAGACTAAGCCCAAACAACAGATTGATTATGACTATGTGACAATGAAACTTATAAACCCCAACACTGTAAACTTCATTCATTTTTTCAATACATATTAAATATATATCATTTGGTGCTTACTTTGTGCCAGGCAATGTTGTAGGCACTGTGGATATAATTATTATCAAGTTGAAATATTGGTCTTCATGGAACTTACATTATAATGGAAGAGACAGACAATCAACATTTGTGTATATATAATCTAAATATATAATACAATATCAGGAAGTAGTAAGTGCTATGAAGAAAAATAGAGTAAAGGGATAGAGGATGATGAGGGTGTTATTGTAAATTGTGTGGTCAGGGACAGCCTCTCTGAAAAGATGATGTATGGGCAAAGAATGGAATGAACTAAGGTAAAGGGCCATATAAATATCTGGGGAAGAACATTTTAGGCAGTGGAATGTGTCAATGCCCTTCAACCACAGACTACCAGAAACATACCCATAGTTGACAAATTGGATTTATTACTCTTAGTCCAGAGAGGGACAACACACACTATAGGTAACTATGATGTGTTTTAGTAAGAAGTTGTTAGAACGAACCTATTATAGAATTTGGACAATTTGGGGGAAGGTCTAGGAAGCAGGAGTTCCATCTCAGATCCATCAGAAAGCAGGGGCAATTGTATGATTGCACATTTCAATAAATCTTATTTATAGGGAGGGCAGACTAGAGGGAGGATAAAGATGTACATTAACTGGCTAAGTAGCAGTGACCTGTCTTGGCCAAGAGGGGGTGTTTGGTGTTTTCTGGGTGTCACAGTGAACTTGTTTTTGTCTGCGCTTGCACAAGCTTATGAAGTGGTCTTGTTTTGTCTCACTTGGTCAGGCTCCCAGTGATCTTGTCTTGGGTTGGCGTTTTGTGAGTTTATGTTCAACAAGAGAAGAACATGCCTAATTGTAAGTGCGAGGTCAGTTTGTGGATATCAGGAGCTGCTCCCACTTCCCTTTCTCAAACAGCAAGCAAAAAGCCTTAGAATATAAGGAACAAGGCTGGGGGCAGTGGCTCATGCATGTAATCCCAGCACTTTGGGAGGCTGAGGTGGGAGGATCACCTGAGGTCAGGAGTTCGAGACCAGCTGGGCCAACGTGATGAAACCCCATCTCTACTAAAAATACACAAATTAGCCGAGTTTGGTGGCGGGCACCTGTAATCCCAGCGACTTGGGAGGCTGAGGCAGGAGAATCACTTGAACCCAGGAGGTGGAGGTTGCAGTGAGCTGAGATCGCACCATTGCATTCCAGCCTGGGTGACAGAGTGAGACTCCGTCTCAAAACAAAACAAAACAAAACAAGCAAACAAAAAAGAATATAAGAAACAAATTTTAGAAGTAGTGGGAGAGGAAGGAAGAAGTACAACATTGGCTATCATCTCATCTTTAATAGAAAGTAGTCACTTTCTATTGTATTATTGTATGGAACATACTTATACTAAAACATTATTCTTTATTTGAAATTCAAAGATAAGTGGGCCTACTGTATATTTCTTTTTGCTATTAATAAATCTGACAACACTGAAATAAACACACTTTAAGTTGTGTACGAAATACTTTGAATACTTTGTCCCTTTTCTTCCCATCTCAGATTTTTCTTTTAATTCAAATAGACTGAAAAAATATGTGAATCTGTTTGAGCCAGTCCTATTTATTATATATGTACATATATACACACATAACCAAATGTACATAATTTATACACACGACACAGAGTGCGCCCAATGTTATAGAGCATGTAATACACACACTCACGGAAAGCACCTATACACGAACAGAATTGACTATGTTGTTATGACCATTCTGTGAAATGTCTCCAGTGGCCTGTCGTCCTGCCCTTCAGTTTTTTCAAGTAGGAGCCTAAGGAAGACGTGGTCTCCATGCGGATTTAGACCCTGGCGAGCCTCAACGCGGAACCAAAGAATGAGCGAAATCGGTTGCAGTGGAGGTTTATTTACACCAAGACACACACCTCTTCACCTTGGCCACACAGACCTGGGGAAATGTTTTGCCAACGTACTCGCAATGGTTCCCATGGTTTCCTTTGCTCCCAGCGGTTGCGCGGGCTTGGTTTTTGGAGCAAAGACAACAGATACTGCTGAGGCTCCTGAGAATGTGCCGTTTTCGAAGCTGCAGTAGCTCCAGTGTCCTGTTCTGTAGTGCCGAGAGGGAGGCCTCGGGCTCCGGGGAGGATGTGTTGCAGTTCGTCCAAGAGCCCCAAGGCCAGCAAAGCCTCCCATTCCCCGCTGGGGAGCAGCTCTCGCTGGAACGCTTGCTCTCTGACTGGGGAATGGAATGGGCTCAGTCAAGGCTCCCAAAACCAGCCCTGCTGCTCCCACTTGTGGTCCCATTCTCAAGAGCGGCTCTCTGCGCCGCGGGGCATGACTTTCGCTTCTGCCTCCTCGTGCGCCTATTGCGGCAACTACTCACGCTCCTGCGGGACGAGGACAGGGAGGTGAGCCCGTGGCAGAGGTGAGTGATATCATGGCCGCACCTTCGCTCTAAGAGGCCCGCTTGCCTTCAGCGAGTCCGCTTCATCTTTCAGCCCGCTTCTGACCATTTGCATTTCGCTCCTTCTACTTTCACTGCGCCCATTTTCATCCTTTTCCGCAATCTATCCACGACAGCTCCTTTTTCGCCCTTCTCCTCTTTTACATTCTCACTCATCCTTGGGCCTCTTTGTAGGGTGTCCCGGTCTCCCTCCACCCTCTTTCGCCTCTCATCTCAGGGCAGACACGGCTAAGGGTCACAGACCTACGTATAGCATTTGTTTTGTGTTATCATTCGTGAACATATTTTTATTCTCCACTAGACTGAGCTCGTGGAAAACCAGGACCCCTATTTTATTCATTACAGAATTTGCAATGCCTGGCACTTAGTAGGGGCTCAACCTACTGAATGTGTTGTGTGTTGAGTGAATTATCGGTTTGAGATCCTAACAGACTAAGTAAGTGGAAATTCCTTGTAGGGAGTTGGAAAGGGTTGAGCTTAAGGGTTTAAATTGGAAAGGAGAATACCTTCCTCTGAGACGAGATAATTGGATGAATGTAGGCAAAGTGATGTGCTAAACTGCAGATTTACCTTGAGGAATGTCTTAAGTGGTCTCAATCTTGACCCTGAAGAATGAGAGGAGAGTGAGATGAGTTTTCCTCTAATGAGAGTGAATATTGGAGTGTGAAGTAGATGGTTTGAGAAGGAAAATAGTTATAATTATTGCTGTGTAAGTACTCATATCAAATGTTTATTGAGTGTTTCAGGTACTATACTGAGTGCCTTACATGCACTACAGTTAAAAAATGAGAAATTTAAAAACGTTGCAGGTATTGAGGGATAGACTGAAATTCCAGCAGTTGGGAGATGTCTTAATTAGTCTTTTTCTTCCATTAGTGGGATATAATAAAGCATAGTGATGAGAAGGACTGCTTCTGGATTGAGACTTTCTGAGTTTGTAAGCCTTACTTTGCCACTTAATACCTGTGTGACCTTGGTAACCTCTCCAAGCTTCATTTTTTTTTTCAGCTGTAAAAGGGGGATACAAATAGTACTGACGTTTTTAGGGTTATTGTAATGATTTAGTGCCTTGAACATAATAAACATTTCACAGGTGTTGGCTATTAGGGTTTCATGCCTGGGAGCAGAAGCAGTAAAAACAGTCCTGAGTTAGGTTAGAGATACACATTTTTTGCCCATGTGGGAGAGGTGAGTGAAACTACTGCACTTTTCCTCTGAGGAACCCTCCTGCCTTTGGGATAGAAAGGTCCTCCCAGTTTGTGTCAATCAAAAAAACTTATTATTTTAGAATCCTAACCAAAAGATGTAAGAACAACTTGGGTAAAATTTGCATTTGTGCACATAGAAGATAAATAATTTATCTTAAGGCACAGATAAAACCAGGTAGCAGCAGGGACTGTTACAATCATCTGCTCTTCACCAGGTTGATGAGGGAAGGATTCCCACCCTTTGTGTTATGGAGTAGCTGAACACAGGACAGATGAGATCAACAGCGGTTTATTAATCACATATATTCACAGCTGGAATGGGAGAGAACACAGTGTGCCACGAAAGGCCACACCTAGGTTGCTGTTGGTAAGACAGTGAATAATCAGGGGTTGTGGGAGGTAGACTTTGTGGTATCAAGAAATTGAGGTAATACCTGCTTCCCCTTGGAAGGATATAATTGGCTTGTTTGAATAATTCCACAGGCTGACAGTGTACTAAAATCTGCTACCCAGAGATAAGATGGAACTGCGTCTGGTCTCTTTGAGAAGCGGGGTCATTTGGCTAGGGGACCTTATTTGCAGGAGCAGAATGGAGAGGGGAATTCGCAGTTAGGCTATTGGGAGCCCTCCTGGTTTCCCCAATTGCCAAGGTAGTCCACAATATTGGGCCTTAATTTTGTGCCTCACACCACAAAGACTGTGTGTCTTTATAGTCTGACAGGCATCCTTGGTCCCTATACTCATATTCCAAGAACCATTAGACGTATGTTTACTTTTAGATTGCCTGCTCTTGAAATGGGAAACCCTCTGAGTGTAACTCTGTATACTTATAATACCTTTTCCCTGAATAAAGAAGTAAAAACAATTTATTCAAGCAATGAAATCAAATATATTTCTTTTATAAGGATTTTTATAGATGAAAGCAGCTAAACTTTGGGGAAATTGAACCTCTCTTAGTTTTCTTTTTTTAGTTTATGAGTAACAGCAAAAATTAAAACAATAAATGACAAACGTTATAATACAAAAAAAAATTAATGTCCTCCAAAGAACAGATAGGTAAGGTACTTTTTTTTTTAGAAGGAACTAAAGGGAGTCTAACATACCTAAGAATTAAAACATTTTGCTCATGGATTTTAGCATGCTAATTGTTTTCTTTAAATTTTATTCATGGGGTGCTAATTTCCTATTAATAGAAGAGTTCAGTGTTAAAACAGATAATACATTTATATTTTGATTTTTTTCCTCAACCCAGGAGCAGATTGCATTCCAGATAATAGTATTACACAGCGATTTTTAAAAAATGAAGATACCAGTGTAGTTTAGTTTAGTTAATTTTTCTGTATCCAATACTATGTGAAATATTAATGCTTTTTTTTTTTTTCTTTTCTCTTTGGTGTTGCTCATAAGTTTCTTCTTCCCTCTCATCTATTTCTGTGTTTAGGTTGAGTTGAGGCAATGTGCTTCACAGGTAAACCTGTAATTTGTGACAAGGTGATAAAGCATTATTATCTGAAGTGTATTCTTATAGATACCCTTGGGAAATGCTTAAAGGACTGGAACTCATAGAATTAGAGTCAGAAGAAACACTAAAAATAATTTTCTAGGCAATACCTAAATTATTGCAGATGTGATCTTCAAAGGGAAAGATTATATAATATAGAAGGTCCCTTTCTAAAGTATTATAGAACTTTATTTATTGATTTATTTGCTTTCTTTCTCTCTTTCTTTCTTTCTGATGTCGGGTCTCACTCTGTCACCCAGGCTAGAGTGCAGTGGCATGATCATGGCTCACTGCAGCCTTGACCTTCCCGGCTCAAGTGATCCTCCTGCCCCAGCCTCTCGAGTAACTGGGACTACAGGTGCACACCACCACACCTCGCTAATTTTTAAATTTTTTGTACAGAAGGGTCTCACTATGTTGCCCAGACTGGTCTTGAATTCCTGGGCTCAAGCTGTTCTTGTGCTTTGGCCTCCCAAAATGCTGAGATTATAAGTATGAGCCACCATGTCAAGCCTACTGTAAAACTTTAATAATACTTATTTTCAGAATTATCTGCAATAAAACAAATATATATAAATATAATATATAATAATATATAATATTATATGTATATGTTATATAAATATAATATATATTATATATTATATATATGTTTATATATATATATACACACACACGCACACACACACACACACACACAATTTTTTACCATGACGTAGCCTCAGGTCCTGAGAACATGTGTCCCCCAAATCTCTTTAGATTGTAGCTTCTTAGGGTCTTCTTGCTCTGAGGAGACAGAACAGTTGCTGCTCTACTATTTCTTTTTCACATGCTTAGAATAAAATTATGATATCTTCCTCAGACTTCTTATATACAGTTTATTTCATCTTTCCTTCTGATTCTGATTTCTCGATTTTTGCCCTGTGGTTTCTTCTGAAAATATAAATCCTCCATGCTGCTTTCAGTTTGAATAGTGCTTGCAATCTATAAAGCATTGTGCAAATGTAAGTTATTTTATTATTATGAAGGTGGCAGACCCTTGAACTGTGGTTTTTTCTTTTTTTTTTTTTTTTTTTTGGCAGTCTTGCTCTGTCACCCAGGCTGGAGTGCAATGGCATGATCATGGCTCACTGCAGCCTTGACATCCCAGGCTCAAGTGATCCTCCCACCTCAGCCTCCTGAGTAACTGGGACTACAGGCAAGCACCACCATACCTGGCTAATGTTTTAAATGTTTTGTATAGATGGGGTCTTGCTATTTTGCGTAGGCTGGTCTTGAACTCTGGGACTCAAGTGATCCTCCCACCTTGGCTTCCCAAAGTGCTGGGATTACAGACATGAACTGTATTCTTAAGAAAGCAATCCAATGCTTGTTTTTAATGGTTCTTGGACAATTGTCATTGTTGCTGAAAAGTTTTAAGTCTATGTTTTTATACTCTATGGTCCATATTTCATCACTTTTCTAATTCTTATAACCATTTTCTTTAAATTCAGCTCTGCTGAACATATGCAAGTAGAGAATGAAGAGCCAAAGAAATGTACTACTTCAGTTTCTACATCAGAAGGTATTTTTAAGATACAGACCTTTCTTGAGAAGTTAAAAAGTGTTTATAAATAGTTGAACATTAGACTTTACTTTTATTCAGATTGCCTATCATCTATTCCTTTTCAGTATTTCAAATGTAGTAAGATTGATAATCAGAAATACTTTTTTAGAAGTTACTTTTTTATTTGTATTTTTTATAGAAAAAAAGTAGTCTAGTCATTCAAGTGAAAGGTCCAAGAAAGGAAGAAAAAAAAAATTATCGAAAAGAAAACACAAGAAGTATTCTGAAGATAGCAACAGTGACTCTGATTCTGAAACAGACTCTAGTGGTAAGAAAGCCAACAGCGTCCTGCAAGCCTTGCTTCAAAACTAGTTTTATTTCTTAAAACTTATTTTAGAAGAAGGTTCCTGAAAACAATAATAATACTGAAGAGTTTTTGAACACTTGCTAACCTTGTGCTAGGCATCCCCATAAGTGCTTTATATTCATTTATTGCCATCTAATCCATAAATAACTGTAGGGTGCTTCTTATAGATGAGGAAATGGCGACAGAGCAGGTTATAAGTACTATCCCCAAGGTCACACAGTTGGGATTCAAACCTAAGCAATTTGACTCCAGATTGGTTGTGCATAGTTGTACAAAGCACGTGGCACCAGACCACGTCAGAGGATTGGGCTGTGCCAAAGTAAGCCTTACAGGGCTGCATCAGCCCAGTGGAAGGGCTTTTTGGTGTAAATCTCATGCCCAGTGGGCACTGCTGTACAGTTTCCAAAAAGGCACTCCCTTTAGACTGGCTGCCAATTTATGGAAGGCACCCCATCTGGGGTAGTGCATCACAAAAAGCCACCTTTTTTATGCCCTCTCCTGGCTAATAATTGACCAGAGGGTTCTTCTTCTTGGTTGGCATATTCCACAAAGGCTCTGCTTCCTCTGATATTGCCCCAGTTTCCTGGTCCTCAATGTCACTTTACTTCCTTGCTGCTGGAAAACCAAACTTTCTTAAAGCACACATCTAAGCATGTCAGTCTCATACTCAAAATCCTTCAATAGTTCTCCGTAGCCCTCAGGGTAAAGTTCAGACCCTGACTGATCCTTCTCTAATCACATATACCCTGTCACTCTTTCTTGCACCATACTCTGTAGCCTGAAAACTAACTTCCTTCCTTCCTTCCTTCCTTCCTTCCTTCCTTCCTTTCTTTTCAGGGCCTCCCTCTGTCACCCAGGCTGAAGGGCAGTGGCTCGATCTCTGCTCACTGCAACCTCCACCTCCAGGGTTCAAGTGATTCTCCTGCCTCAGCCTTCCGAGTAGCTGTGACCACAGGCGGGCGCCACCATGCCCAGCTATTTTTTTAAAAAAAATTGTAGAGGTGGGGTCATGCTGTGTTGCCCAGGCTAGAACTGCTTTCTGTTTCCTCAGTATTCTAGGTTCTTTCTATTGACTCTATTACCTGGTAGAGAGGCCCTCTGCCTACAATACCAGTCTCTTTTTCCAACAAGCTTGGCTTACTCATTGCAACAATGGACATGCAGTACTTTTGTAATCAAATAACTACTCTAAGAGCCACCTTTCCTGGTCAACCATTCCTCAACCACCCTCCTCCAATCAGTCTGATTTTGAGACTCCTCTGTGTGTCCAGAGCAACCCAAGCTTCCTTCTGTCACTCTGGACTGTATCAATCTCTTTACCTATTTGTCTCCTCCATTAGACTGAGCTCCTAGAAAGCGTTCTCCTTCCCCACTCCAACACACACGTAGTTTTCTTTCCCTTTTTATCATGAAAATCTTCAAATGTTCAGAAAAGTAAAGGGAATAGTGTAATTAATACTATATACTTTAGTACTCAGGTTTAACATTTGTTAGCATTTTGATATGTTTGCTTCAAATATAGATTTTTCACTAAGGTATTCAAAGTAAATTACAAATGTCATCACACTTCAGTACAAAATATTTCTATGCATCTCTTTAAAATGATATTTCTTAGCCATAATACCATTAACTTATGAAAAAATTAACATTAATTTCTCATATCATCTAATACCTAATGTGACTTTAATAATGTATATATCCCCAGTGCCTAGCACAGTTCCTGACAATAGTAATAAATGTTTGAATGAATAAATTTCTGTGTAACAACAAATGAGAGACAGCAAAAGCATATATATTTACTCAAAAGTATTGAGGTTTTAAAGGTAACTTTTTCAAAATTATAATGTGTTTTAATTTGCAGATGAAGACACAAAAATGAGAGCAAAGACAGCTAAGAAAAAGGAAAAGAAACACAGATGGCCAGATTTTTTTCTTTAATTTTTATTATGGAAAAGGTCAAATGTGTATAAACATACATAGAATGGTATAATGATCCCTCAGGCACCTAGCACCCAGCTTGAACAATTAACAACTTGTGGGAAATTGCCACTGCCCCCTAATTAATTTGAAACCAATCCCAGGTATAATGTCATTTGTAAACAATTCAGCATGTTTCTCTAAAAGACAGTGTATTAGTCTGTTTTCACACTGCTATAAAGACATACTTGAGACTGGGTAATTTATAAAGAAAAGAGGTGTAATTGGTTCATAGTTCTGCATGGCGTGGGAGGCCTCAGGAAATTTACAATCATGGCGGAAGCCAAAGGGGAAGCAAGGCACATCTGACATGGGAGCAGGAGAGAGAGTGAGATGGGGAAGCACCAGACACTTAACAGACAACCAAATCTCATGAAAACTCACTCAGTATCATGACAACAGCATGGGAGAAACCCATCCATTCGATTACCTCCCAACAGACCCCTCCACTTGTATTGACATGTGGGGATTACAATACAAGATGAGATTTGGGTGGGGACAGAGGCATATCATATCAGATGCACATTCTTTTTCTAAAAACATAACTACAATACCATTATCATGCCTAAAAAAATTAACAATAACTCCTCAACTCTCATCACACTCCATTTTTAAATTTTTGTTGTTTTCTAGCCTAGCAGTTTCACATGAGGAAGACAGCATAAAGCAAGCCAAGGTCTGACTGCTTCTTTTTGATGAGAATATGAATCAGGGAACTACCTCCTCCCTCTTGCTTCTCCTAGCAGTAAACAAAAGGTTCCCTTTTTGTGTTTTTATCATCAGGAACCAGGGTCCAGGAGGTTGAATGAGACAAAATACATTTGAATGCATGATTGTCAGCTTCTGAGCTGGAGAATATGCAACAATATGCCTTCTGGGCTGGGGATGGAAGAGAAAAGGGAGAACGGCCTCATTCTGGCTTTGGTGGAGTCTCCTCTTGTGTTCCATTTGATGCAGAGGACCTTTGGGCCAGAATGGTTCCTATTTCCCTATGTCCTCCACAGAAAGGGAGGACAGTGAACAGAATTTGGAATATACTAGATAGATGTTTGGCTGCCACCTTCCCATAGAGCCCTATGAGTAGCTTCTTAGGAAGATTCCTTTAGACTACAGGGTTATGTCTGAGCTCTTCAGCACAAATGGAGACGGGCCCTGTCTTGAAACACTGTTCTTTTACTAGGGACTTTCCCCACCGCCATTTTGCATATGTATGTATGTGAGATGTACAGGGCCTATTGGTGATTGAGGAATGTCAGCTCATAAAATGGGGCTTCCTTGTAATTCTGTTTAAATGACTTTTCCTTTGAAATTCTTATCCATATTTTATTTGGCACACAAAACAGATATACAGTTGACCCTTGAACAATGCAAGTTAGAGCTGCATTTGTCCACTTACATGTGGATTTTTTTCAATAGAGTTGCCCCCGCGTCCCCCCCCCGCCATATCCATAGGTTTCACACCCGCAACCAAATGCAGATCAAAAATACAGTATTCGTGGGATGCAAAACCTGCAGATAGGTAAGGCCAACATTTTGTATACTTGGATTCTGCAGGGCCAAATGTGGGGCTTGAGTATGCATGGATTTTGGTATCTGCAGGGGTCCTGGGAACCAATGTTTACAAGGAATTCACAGCTTTGTTTTAATATAAAATGTGCCTTATAAAAAATGGTGCACTGACTTTTTTGTTTAGTCAATTCATTTAACAGACATTTGGTGAACTGCACTTGAGGATGTGCCATGCAGAATTTGAATCTGGCAGAAAAATATTTTGGAAAAATTTATTAAAAACAGGCCTAAGAAAATGGAGACTACAAATGAATGCTGATGACAGGGGCCTATACCAGGCCAAACAAAGTCAGGGCAAAGCAAGGCATAGACAGAGGAGGCAAGGACAGCATGGGAAGCCTGGATATTCTAGGCTACAGTGGCACTACAAGAACCCAACTCCAATTGGGCTCCTGAACAAGGATGGCATTATAGGGCCCATCCAAGATTTCGATGACAGGGAGATCGATGGCAATCGGTGACATATATCTAAAATCTAAAGCCTTCTGATATCTTCTCTACTTGACCTTCCTAATCTTAAACCAAACCTTCAAGGGGAGAAAGAGAATTGGTTCAGTATATTTAACAGTTCATATCTTAATAGAAAAATATAACATGCAAATCTATGTGCTATTGAAATTTTAAACCACAATGGGAGAGACTATTATGTTATTACTAAAATATCTTAGGAAAGTTAACACTGCAAGCCTTCCCTTCAGCTCACCCTTAGTGAGCATAGACTATTTGCCAAGCTCTGGACTAGGCCTCTGGCTTTGTTTTGTAAACCAAAAAGTATCTGAGACAGGTCTCAATCAATTTAGAAAATTTATCTTGCCAAGGTTAAGTATGCACCTGTGACACAGCCTCAGGAGGTCCTCACGACATATACCCAAGTTAGTCGGGGCACAGCTTGGTTTTATACCTTTTAGGGAGACATGAGACCAATCAATATATGTAAGATACACATTGGTTCAGTCCAAAAAGGCAGGACAACTCAAAGTGGGGAGGGGACTTCCAGGTCATAGGTAGAGACAAATGGTTGCATTCTTTTGAGTTTCTGATTATTCTTTCACTGAATACACAATTTACAGGAATATTCACTTATCCCTTAGTCTGGCTTAGTCAA